GCCGTACGCGCACGGCCCGTCGGTGCGCAAGCTCTCCAAGATCGCCACGCTGCTGCTGGCCAAGAACTACATCCTCATGCAGGCGCAGGCGCTGGATGAGATGCGGCGCCTGGTGGCCTACCTCAACCAGGGCCCGGGCCTGGCCGCGCCCGTGGCCGCCGCGCCGCTGCCGCCTTTCGGCCAGGCCGCTGTGTGCCCGTTCTCTACCGGCGCCCCGCTGGGGCCCTGCCCGGACAAGTGCGCCGCCTTCTCCGGGGCGCCCTCGGCGCTCTGCAAGCACTGCAGCGAGAAGCCGTGACTCGCCGGCCCGCCTCCTACCCCGCGAGCGTCCTCCCCAGACGACGCCCCCATGACTTGTCGCCCTGCCGCGACGGGAGAGGCCCGAACAGACCAGCGGTGGGGAGAAGGCGGAACGACGGATACTAGCCAGGGCGTGCAGGGTCCGTGGGGCTCGGGATTGAGCCGGACGCTGAGTCCACACGTGCAGCTGCGGTGCCCACTGGGCGCTCTCCCAACGTCCCCAGGGTGTCATGGGACCATTGTGTCTAGGAACGTTTCAACAGAGACCAGCGGTGTTCCTGCTGCTGGCCCCGAAGAGAAGACCAGGCAGGGTTGGGGCAGGCATGGATCGGACCCTGGACAGGTGGTCCTGCTCTGAGCTGGCCCAGAGCGTGGAGGGCAGAGACAGAATGTGGCGAGGCATGGCCCTCGCCGGGCTGTCCTGCGGCCTCAGTTGCCCACTGGTGCCAAAACACAGGGCTGGCTGGGCTGGGCGTTTCTGGGGGCTGGGCGGCACCTTTCACCCCTTCCGGCCCCAGGACTCCCAGACCGAAGCCTAGCATGGGGAGTGCGGGATCCACCCCACAAGGTGTTTGCAAAGAGTTGGACTCCGTTGCAAGAAGGCTCCCCTGCAAGCGGTTTCCTGCCTTTCCGAGTTGGAGTTTGTTCCATTTATTTTCTTGCCTGCCTAGAAGCAGGGGAAGTGGATGCCATCATTGACTGCCTCAAAGTCTGCGGATGTGTCTCCTAAACAACCCAAAACCCCCAGATGCCCCCCCCAGACTCGTGTACTGCAATGGAGCCAGATGAGAGCGCCTTGGCTCCCTCTGTCTGAGGGGCTGCATGAAGGAGGGGTCCTCATGGGGGTATCCCCGCTTAAGCCTGGAAGGTCAAGGGAGGGTGCTGGTCTAACCATGGTGACCAGCAAAGCCTCCCCACCAACTCCACGCGTTTCTGAGGGAGGAAGCTGGGCCTCAGGTGAGTAGCTGCAGTGGCCACATTCTGCCGGGTGTGATCCGAGATGGGGTGTGTCTCTCTTAACATCCCTATAATGATGTGTTCTTTCATTTATGTCTGGTGGTGCTCAGAATTCGGTCATCTTCTGGGGCCAGTCACGACTCTAGCTGGGCCGGTCACCCCCGGTGGGGGGGGACCAAGCTCTCTCCCGGTGCTCAGAGTGGTTGGCCCGGGGTGGACCTCCTGAACGCAATTTCCATCCTTGGTTAACTCCAGGGGGAGGCCCCATCCTGGAAGCACCGTCTGTAGTGCTTAGCTTTAATTAATCCATTCCAAAAGAGTCTTTTGTGTTTGCAAAATGAGGTGTGTGATTATTCATAAAGACAGTGCTTAACTGGTTCTCACTCATTTCCATTTTTATTTCTTCATTGTCTTTTCCCCTAACAGACTAGTTCATCAGTTTTGCACATTCAAAGCTGAGTGTTGGGGACTTTTTCAAATTCCTTTTAGATGAGGTTTGGGCAGGAAAGCTGGGGGTAGTGTTGTCTTCCGGGGTCATTTTAAAGCGATCCTAACTTTAAAGTACTTGCCAGGTCTTGAAATGGGATTGCTCATTCTTTAAAATCATTTGGTACACAATTTGCAATCAGAATAAAGTATTTGATTTCAAGTTATCTTACAAAGATAATATGATTAGATTTAAATATCAAATTAAGTAGAATTCGTTTGTGACTGGATTCATCTTTTTTTTTTTTTTTTTTGAGGCAGAGTCTCACTCTATCGCCCAGGCTGCAGTGCAGTGGCACGCTCACAGTCACCGCAGCCTTGACCTGCTGGACTCAGGCAATCCTTCTGCCTCAGCTTCCTAGGTAGCTGGAACTATAGGTGTGCACTACCACACCTGACTAATTTTTTGATTTATTGTAGAAATGAGGTCTCACCATGTTGCCTAGGCTGGTCTCAAATCCCTGGGCTCAGGCAGTTCTCTAACCTCCACCTCCCAAAGTGTGGAATTACAGGCGTGAGCCACTGCACCCAGCTGGATTCATTGTAATTTCAGTTTCCAGGTAATTATGTCAAGTTAGGCCATACACTTCTTTACCAGAATTAACAAGCCTCTGAAATGCTGAAACAGACCTGTAATATGAGAGAGATAAATCATAAGATATTTGAAGCTTATTCCAATTTCAAATCTATGAAGTCATAAGAAAAAGAGAATGGAAACTACCTCTCTTCTCCCCTCAGGGTGAAAAACAACTTTTAAAAAGAACCATTATGCTCATCAGAAATTCTCCAATAACTTAGTTTAAACAGAAGTTCAAGGTGCACATGAACAATTTTCTGAATTGCAGAGTTGCTTACCCACCGTTTTCCAGAATGTCAGCACGCCTGTCACAGGGGTTGAGTGGAATCTGCATCTCTCTCGGAGAGAAACTAGGTGGCTTTCTCAGCAACAGCTCCCTCAACATAAATATCACAGGGCCTACCCCAAGCTTGCACAGAAGGCTCCCCTTCCTAGACTACTGTCTGTGGCCTCATACCCAGGTCTGGCTGTCAGCAAAGCACAACCCACAAAGGCTGTCTGGTGCAGACCCATGGCTCTCCAAAGACTTCCGAGCATCTGGTGGTCTTTCCTCCAAGGGTCTTACTCCTACAGGTGTCAAGATCACCACAGCCACCCCAGAAGGGCTTCCCATCACCCGTGTGGCTGCGAGCCAGTGTCTTCAGACCCTGTCCAAGGAACTAGATGGGAAAGGTCTTTGCTTGGCACTCAGGTTGGACCCACCTTTCAAGATGCTTGTTTTAGATCCTCTTAGCTAGGAATGTTCAGCTGTGGGGGTATAGGGTAGTGTCCCCCAAACAGAGACACACTGCCCTATGGACCAGCACTACCCCATGTAGAGAGTGTGTCGACCGTGTGGAGAGTGTCATGTCTTCTCATGGCCACATGCAAACGTAGAGAGAAGAGAGTGGAGTGAGTGTCCTTAATAACTTGTGTTTATCCCAACGTATCCAAAATGTCATCATTTCAACATATGATCAAGATGCTAAATGAAGCCGGGCTTGGTGGCTCAGCCTGTAATCCCACGCCTTTGGGAGGCTGAGGTGAGTGGACTGCCTGAACCTGCGGGTTCGAGACCCGTCTGGGCAACTTGGCGAGACCTCATCTCTACAATAAATCAAAAAATTAGCCAGGCGTGGTAGCGTGCGCCTGTAGTTCCAGCTACTTGGAAGGCTGAGGCGGAAGGATCGCCGGAGCCCAGCAGGCGAGGCTGCGGTGGCCGGGAGCGGCCCACTGCACTCCAGTCTGGGCGACAGAGTGAGACTCCAACTCAAAAAAAAAAAAAAAAAAAAAGATGCTAAATGATTCGTGAGATGGTTTACTTTGTTTTTGGTACTAAGTCTTCAAGCCCGGCATATGTCTCACACATAAGACCCAGCTCAGTGCTGACCAGAGCTGACATTTCAACACACCACAGCCATATGTGGCTCAAGGCAGCCCTAGCTGGTGAAATGCCCGGGCTCTTTGTTTGTTTCCCTTTGTTTAATAGCTAGATATGTCCACTAACACAGGAATCCGTACTCGACAGAGAGGAAATAGCCACCTCATTCCTCTTCCTGTCTTGATTCACTGATTCTCCCGAGTGCCTTAGCTAGGGCTGAGGCCAGTGGCAGGGGAGGGGGTGGCTGTGTCCCACTGAGTCACTGGGTCCATGTGCCCTCAAGCCTCATGATGGCCAACCACACCCAAGCCTGGTAACCACTGGGAAACAGCAGATTAGAGTGAAGCCCAGGTCTTCCTTCCTTCCCAAGGGGTTAGTCTGGGAGCTGTGCTGCCTTCTTCCTCTGTGAACCCACAGATAAAGGTCTGGACCCTGCTGGCTGCTGCTTGAACTACTCGCGGATCAAGACCCATTCAGAGGAGAGTTAGGAGCCCCTGCTGGGCCTCTCTTTGGAAAGGGGTCCTTTCTGAGGCCTGGCTTATGGGGGCTGAAACAGGCTTCTCCGAACCTAATGTTTTTGTAAGTGTCCCTTGCTGGGCTCAGGCCCTTTTGAGTTGCCTAGCCTGGGGCCGGGGGAGGGGAGCGACTCCTATCCAGATTCATTGACTACTGTGTCCACACCCCCAAGCTTCCTGTGGACACACCCACCTTCCCCAGTGCCCTCTAGCTTGCCAGGTGGAAATAGAAGCCCAAACAGGTCAGAATGCATAGGTGGGGCTCACACGGCCCCCCTTTCTTTCCTATAAAGCACCTAGACGGCAAACATGTTTCTCCTGCACCTTTGTACAGGTTGGTGTGTGGTTGACTTGTGGTCGGTGGAACCGGGATGGGGTGGCCTCCTGCTATTTCCCTCCAGGAAATCAAATGGTGTGATGGGACCTCCCTGCCTCACTGGCTGACACTGCGGGGACCTTCCTGCCTCCCCGGCCATCACCATGGGTACCTCCCCGCTGGCACTGTGGACACCTCCCCGGCTGGCACCATGGGGACCTCCCTGTGTCCCCAGCTGGCATTGTGGCTCAAGCGTTGGTTCCAGTGGTGCCCACAATACTTTACAAAGATCTTTGCTTTCTCCAATTAGGACAGTCACTCTCCTAAAACAGCATCCTTGACTTTCAGCAACAAGTAACAGGTGCCCAGACTCTGAGGGCAGAACTACTCCAAACCCAGAGCCCCACTGCATCTGTCCAGCCCATGCAGGCCCACGGCAGCTCCGAGTCAGGCACACAACTTCCCACGGCTCCATGTGGTTGTCAATCTCATCCCAAAGATGGACTTTTTCTTTTTGCTTATGCAGAGCCTACAAGGGTCACTGGGGACTTTGCTTTTCCTTATGACTGATCGGTGACCATCCCAGCACAGACACTTGCTTTGCCAAACACGCATGTGTTTCCCTTGCAGGCTGGGGACAGGAGAAGAGGTGCCTCTTTCTAAGGGACAAACGCCATCCTTCCTCCCCCAGAGCCACCACTTCACCGTCATCTCTGAAAGGCCTGGACACATGAAGCCGGGCTCCTAAACCCTGGTTAATCCAGCAGAGAATGATTACAGCAATTTT